AAAAAAAAAAAAAAACCCTCAAAGAATGAAATCCCAAAGTACAGGTGGGAACTTTGACATCAAGCATAAGTATGCAATGGAAACTGAGGCTCAGAGACAGCTGTGATTGACCAGCGCCCCGTAGTATGTTGCTATCCTCACCAAGTCCAGATAGGGCTGCTTACCTGAGACCACTCCTCGTCCCCACTGCTCCCACCTCTGCTGCTGTCTCCACCACTGCTATTCGCCCCGCCAGCCTGGAGTTGTGCTCGCTCCCACTGCAACTGCTCCAGCAGGAGCATGTGAACTGGGCGCTGTGCTCGGAGGGCAGCCTCCCGCAATTCTAGGCCTCGCTTCTCCCGGCGTACCAGCTGTAGCCGTAACATCAGGTCTGCCAGAGTCTCCTGAGAGACCAAGAAGAAGGCAGACGATTTGTGCCTCCAGGGTTAATTTCTGGGAAAACTGAAGCCCCAGGAGGTACCCACTGAGGACCGGTTAGCCAAAATCTCTGAGCTGCACCATGACCTTCCTCTCTTAAAAGCTACAGCTATACAAACAGCATTTCTGAGAGGGCAAAACATCTTAGTCAAGGTCAAGAAGTACCTCAGTGGAAGTTTCTGGAGTTTCTCCAACTCCAGATCTTCAAGTCCTTCATGCTAGGCTACAAACTCCAGATTTTGTTCCTTTCCCCCAACTCTTGCCACAAGAAGGGCATTTGGGAGCCAGATTCAGAGTTGAATGAGAAACTAAATCCCAAAAACCAAGCTCCTATTCACCCCTCAAAACTTTAGCTCCAATTTTCCTTCCTCTAGGAAGCCTACCCCTAGCCCAGCAGAATTCTCCTTTGCTCTTTGGCCCCCTTACCACATCCTTATCAGCCTCATCAAAGGGGTTTTTTCACAACAGGAAAGACTGATTTGACATAGGAGCTAGAGCCCATTTGTACCCTTGTGGCCACAAGGTTCTTCTGGATCTGCGTCTTCTCCAGTCGAGGCAAGGCTGGGCCGGGCTGGGTCCCCAGAATGGCTTGCACCATGGCTTCTGCACGAGGCACAGTAGGCATGGGTGCCAAGGTAGGGCCAGGCTCTGGGGGAATCTTCACGAGAGCATGGTGCTCCTGGAGACGCTGGATGTAGTCTTGCAGCTGAATAGCCACTTCCTGTGGTGTGGGCTTATCCACACTGCTGCCCTCTGGGCTATAGAAAAAGGGAGGAGACTACATCAACAATACCTGGTGTGGTTGGGTTAACTTCATGCCACCCTTTTTTTTTGTTTTGAGACAGAGCCTCAAGCTGTTCCCCTGGGTAGAGTGATATGGCATCATAGCTCACAGCAACCTCCAACTCCTGGGCTCAAGCAAATCTCCTGCCTCAGCCTCCCAAGTAGCTGGGACCACAGGCGCCCACCACAACGCCCGGCTATTTTTTGGTTGCAGCTGTCGTTGTTGTTTGGCAGGCCCGGGCTGGATTCAAACCCCTTATCTTAGGTGTATGTGGCTGGCGCCTTAACCACTTGAGCCACAGGCATCGAGCCTTTTTTTTTTTTTTTTTTTTTTTTTGAGACAGAGTCTCAAGTTGTCTCTCTGGGTATCACAGCTCACAGAAACCTCAAACTCTTGGGCTTAAGTGATTCTCTTCCCTCAGCCTCCCAAGTAGCTGGGACTACAGGTGCCTGCCACAATATCCAATTATTTTTTGTTGTTGTTGCAGTTGTCATTGTTGTTTTAGCTGGCCCAGGCCAGGTTCAAACCCACCAGCCCTGGCGTATATGGCCAGCGCCCTACCCACTGATCTGTGGGTGCCACCCATGCCACCCTTTTAAGCTTAATAATCTTCCATCTCACTGACCATGATGAATTCTAGGTCATATGAGGTGAGCCCTGCCATATCAATATAGTGGGCACCATACTGTAAAACCCAATAGGCACCATTGTTGATCAAGACAACTTGGTAGATGCCATCACACCAACCCAGTGGTCACCATTGCTCATGCCAAGATGGTACATACCATCATGGCAATTCACTTGTCACCACTGCTCATATCAACAGGATGGACACCATTGCACCAAGCCAATGGGCACCACTGCTCATGCCAACATGGTGTATACCATCATGCCAACCCAATGGGCACTATCATCCAGATTGACAATCCTGTCTGGAAGCATCAAGCCAACCACAGTGAGTAACATCAAACATCAGGCCAACCACATTAAGCACCATCATGCCATTTCTTTCTTTTTCTTTTTTTCTTTTCTTAAGACAGAGTCTCGGGAGGCACCTGTGGCTCAGTGAGTAGGGCGCTGACCCCATATACGGAGGGTGGTGGGTTCAA